TTCTGGGTTCCTTTTGTTTGTTTTTGTTTTGTTTGTTTACTTTTGTTTAATTATTTGTTGGTGTTGTTTTGTCTTCAGTTTGTTGTGTATCGTTTATTTAGAGATAGTTATTATTTTTAATTTACGTATTACCATTTTTTTATATATTTCTATTTATTTATTTCTTATTATTTTATTGTCTTTATTTTGTCCCCATAGATAGTTGCCCAAGAGGTAATCCTACCCTTTTTGTTTAATTATCATTTATATTTATTTTTTTCCCTTTATTTTGTAATTTACCAACAGAGGATTTTTCTTATATTTACGTGTTACCAATTTTATGGGAGTTTTTTTTTTATAATTATTCGTTTTTGGCTCGACTTTATAATTTCCTCTGAAACAATCATGTTATCCTTATAAATTCATTACCTAATCATATATATATATTTTTTTTTCATCTATATATCCGTTATTATTTTTCGTCCTTAGTTTATAGCATCCCCCTTCTAACACCGTAAGTTGAATCGGGTTATTAATGATTAGCGAAATTTCCATACAGCAGGTGGTCGTGATTCGCTGATTAGGTATTAGGGATTCAGCAGCAGAGATCACAACGGCATCCGAGTGGAAGGGAGACAAATGAGGAGGGGGGGACAGCATGGCAGCATAACGGAAGCAGGTGGAATGGATAGAGGTAGAGAGAAAGGGGAGATGGCATGGCTAGGGTGTAGCGTGGGATGGGGGAAGGAAGGAAGGGAGGAAGGGAGGATGGAAGGAAGGAGAGAAGGGAGGAAGGGTGGAAGGAAGAGAGGAAGGGTGGAAGGGAGGAAGGGTGGAAGGAAGGGAAGGAAGGGAGGATGGAAGGAAGAGGAGGGGAAGCGTAAACAGTAAACAGTAGCAAAGGGAGATGAAGGGGAGGGGAGGGTAGGGGAAGATAGAGGGGTGAGGTGGGGGGGGGGAAGAAGGTGGCCAATACAAGGGACCAATACAGGGCCAGGGCGTGGACAATACCGTGCGGCCCCCGTGGACACATAAACAGGGTCTCGGCGGGCCAGTTGTCGCTGGGCTTCGGGATTAACTTTGGACACTTAACGTCGAGGCCGATAGTTTGTAGGCCTGCCGTAAGGACGAGTATCGCCCGCCGCCGCCCCTGAGAAGTCCCCCTGGCTACTTAGGGAAGGGATTGGCTGCTCGTCGTCCCAAGTGAAAAAGAGGCCATAGGTTGGAGGGGCGTCCGGCGCTGACCAGCCTCTCGAAGGGGGCGGGAGGGGCGCTCGAGGAGGAGCAGCAGGAGGAGGAGGAGGAGGAGGAGGAGGTGCGGGGTCTCTCTCTCTCTCTCTCTGTCTCTCTCTCTCTCTGTCTCTCTCTCTCTCTGTCTCTCTCTCTCTCTCTCTCTCTCTCTCTCTCTCTCTCTCTCTCTCTCTCTCTCTCTCTCTCTCTCTCTCTCTCTCTCTCTCTCTCTCCCTCTCCCTCTCTCCACCCCATCCCTCCCTCTGTGTGTTTGTATGTATGTGTTTATGTATTTACACACACACACACACACACACACACACACACACACACACACACACACACACACACACACACACACACACACACACACACACACACACACACATACACACACACACATACACACACACACACACACACACACCCACCCACACACACACATAGATACATATATTATTCATACATACATATATATATATATGTATATATATATATATATATATATATATATATATATATATATATATATATATACACATATATATACATATATATATGTATGTATAAATATGATTATATATATATTTTTTTCACATATATATGTCTATATACGTATGTAGGTATCACCCTCCAGCTTCCAATCTCTCTAGGGCGTGGGGATGTAGGCTTATGTGATAAGTTTTGAGGTGTGCATATGTGTCTCTTGATGCCACGTAGGCCTATGGGTGATATGAATGGTTAAGCTCCGTTCGTGCGATCGTCATGTGGGAAATGCTTCTCAAAGTATGCAGTATAACACTCTAGGTCGCAATAGCAAGCATTGGTCTAGGCCTAAAAAAATCACAGATTGAAACTAAGGACATATATAGTGTTGGGTGATATGTAACTGAGTATGAATGTAATAATTTTTGGAAAAAATGTGATTCCAGAATTGTAATATAAGTAAATATGTTCAGATTTCGTATTCCTTGGTAACTGATGTTAACAAACTAGGAAAACACTATGATATCATTTCTCATCCTACAAATCTACCTCAGAAATATACACAATATACGCATAGACACGTACCATACACATACATACATGTCAAACAAGCACACCTACGTATACATATATCTGTACACGTACCTGCATACGGACACATCATATATGCATATACTATGAGGGCATAAATATATACCATATACACATATACATACCAGACACGTACAAACAGAAGACATACACGCATACACATAACCAAAACTACTGTCCAAACATACGTACGGACACAACCACATACGCATGC